ATGCAAACAGTGTGTCAGTCGGTTACAAATCTTTTATGCTTCCTCCCCATATTCAAAATTTACTAATTATCTAACTTCTCATATTGTCAAACAGATCAACATCCTCATTTATCATTTATTTAACTATGGCTTGGTTGCTTCAAAAAAATTGGACTGTGCACAGGGAATCCCGATCAAGAAAGGGCCGCAAATGGCGAATCAGGCGAACCTGACAAAAGGTCCCCCTGGTTACAGCTGTCAGATGTTCCTCCAAGGACAGCTACATATCCAGGAGGACTCCCAGATTGCGAGCCCTTTCTGTGGGGGCCAAAGACTCGCCCCCAATAGTCAGTGATGGAGTCAACTGACTATATCGGGATGCCGGGAGCCACAGCCACTCAGTCTTGGAAGGGTTGAGCTTGAGCTTGAGCCTGTTCCTCCCCATCCAGATCCGCACAGCCTCCAGGCACTGGGACATCACTTCAAGGGCATCGTTGGGGTGGCCTGGGGTGGAGATGTACAGCTGGGTGTCATCAGCGTACTGGTGGTATCTCACCCCGAAGCCACGGATGATCTTGCCCAGCGGCTTTACATAAATGTTGAACAGAAGGGGCGAGAGGACCGATCCCTGCGGCACTCCACAGATGAGAGGCCTCGAGGTCGACCTCTGCCCCCCTGCCAACACAAACTGCGACCGGTCAGAGAGAAAGGACGAGAACCACCACAACACGGTGCCTCCCACCCCCAACTCTTCCAGCCGGTGCAGCATGATACCATGGTCGATGGTATCAAAAGCCGCTGAGAGATCTAACAGGACCAGAACAGAGGAGCAACCCCTGTCCCAAGCCCTCCAGAGATCATCAACCAACGCGACCAATGCCGTTTCTGTGCTGTGTCCAGACCTGAAACCTGACTGGAACGGATCTAGATAAGATGTTTCCTCCAGGAATTGTGGGAACTGTCGCGTGACCACACTCTCCGCAACCTTCGCCATGAAGCAAAGGTTGGAGACAGGACGGTAGTTGGCCAATATTGCCGGATCCAGGGACGGCTTCTTGAGGAGAGGCCTCACCACCGCCTCCTTCAAGGCAGCGGGGAAGTGGCCCTCACTCAGCGAAGTGTTGATAACACCCTGGAGCCAGCCTCGTGTAACCTCCCGGGAAGCCAGTACCAACCAGGAGGGACACGGGTCCAGTAAACATGTGGCCGCACTAAGTCTACCCAAAATCCTGTCCACATCATCGGGAGTCACAGCATCAAACTCCTCCCAGATAACATTCTCAAGACTATTCCTTGTCACTCTGCCCTGATCTACCCAGTCAGAGTCCAAATCCCCCTGGATCTGAGCGATTTTGTCATACAGGTATTGTCCGAAATCCTCCGCCCTGCCTTCCAAGGGATCCTCCCGCGCTCCCGGATGGAGCAGGGAGTGGGTCACCCTAAACAGGGTGGCCGGACGATTCCCTGATGATGCAATAGAGGCGGAAAAGTAATTAAACTTTGCCGTCTTTATCGCCATTAGGTAGGTCTTAATATGCGACCTTACCAGTGTTCGATCAGATTCAGCGAGACTGGCCCTCCAACCGCTCTCCAGGCGTCTTTTCTGGCGCTTCATTTCCCTCAGCTCCTCGGTGAACCAAGGAGCCGCACGGAATCGGCACCGGGTCAGAGGCCGCAAAGGCACGACTCGGTCCAAGGCCCCACCAGCCGCCCAATCCCAGGCGGCTACTAGGTCCTCGGCCGAGTCATGTGCTAGAACCTCAGGAAATGGCCCAAGCTCCATCTGGAACCTCTCAGGATCCATCAGGCGCCTGGGGCGGATCCATCTAATTGGATCCGCCTCCCTGCGGCGGGGGGCAGCGGTTCGAAGATCTAGGCGAAGGAGTGAGTGGTCTGTCCATGACAAGGGTTCCATGTCTATATCCCCAATAACAAGACCACTCAACCACTGGCCAGAGACAAAAATCAGGTCCAGAGTGTGACCTCCCCTGTGAGTAGGGCCATGAACTAACTGGGTCAGGCCCATGGCCGTCATGGAAGCCATGAACTCCCGAGCCACCTCAGACGTTTCACCGACGGATGGCAAGTTGAAATCACCCATGACTAAAAGCCTGAGTGTATCTACTGCCACCGTGGCTATCACGTCGAGTAGCTCAGGTAGGGCTGTTGCCACGCGGCAGGGAGCCAGGTACGTAAGAAACAAGCCCATCTGAACCCCATGACCCCACCTCACAAGGAGGGACTCACATCCGGCTATCTGAGGCACAGTGGTCTCCCTCGGACCCAGATCCTCGTTACTTAATTTATTCCACCCTACAAAAACATAGTTTGCTTACAATTCCAGTTCTCTTCAGTAACACAGACACAGTTCCTTTCAGCAGTTCAACCTTCTAATAGCAGGAGCAGAAGTGAATCAACTTCCTGCCTTCTTTTATGTCTGCTTAGCACAGCCAATTAGTCATCTTGTAGCAGTTAAAGTTACAGAACATAGTTTTCTATATATTACCTATTCAACCGTAAGAGAAGCATCCAACTTTCTCCCCTTTGGGTAGACTAATATATTTACAATCTTAAACCATACTGTTCCCATGTATCTATATGTTTCCTACTTCCCTGTGCTTTTGTGAAATGATCAGCCATGTTGTCTTCTGATGCACAATATACAAGTTCTATCATCTTGTTCATTATACATTCTCTTACATTGAGATAACGAAGATCTGTATGTTTTGTTCTAGTCTTTACAGCTATATTTGTCGCCATTTTTATCGCTGCCTGATTATCTTCGTATACTATTATAGGATCTTGTATATCTATTCCTAAATCTAGCATCAGCTGCTTAATACTAATCAAATCTGTACATAACAAAGATAAACAAGAAAACTCTGCTTCCATTGTAGACATACTTAAATGCTGCTGTCTTATTGAATGCCACCATATCAAAGATTTCCCCAGAAATACAGCGATTCCTGAGGCTGATTTTCTTGTATTCACATCTGTTGCGAAACTAGCATCTGCATAAGCGGTTACATGCAATTCTTCTGATGGTTGTAGATATAATGCATGATGCATGGTATATTTCAGATATCTAAGAATACGTTTTGCTCCTTACCAGTGTCTTTCTGTAGGTTCCGTGTTGAATCTAGCTAATTGATTCACGCTATAAGAAATATCAGGTCTAGACCAATTGCTAATGTATGATAAACTGCTAATCAACGATTGGTATATCCCTTTATCAAACAACGGACTTTTCACATCAGTGTTGCAATAATCTTGAACCATAGGTGTCTTTGATGGTTTACACAATTCCATTCTGAGCTGTTTTAATAGATTATTAATTTTATCAGTTTGGGATAATTTAAATCCTCCCCTAGTTTTTTCGATCCTTACACCTAGGTATTGTTGTATCTCCCCTAGATTTTTAATCCTGACATGAGCTTTTAATTCATCAACACTCCTGTTGGCCTCTTGCTCATTCTTTGTAATCAGAGCTATATCGTCCGTAAAAAGAAGTAATAATGATACTATACCATCCCTTTCCATTTTAAATAAACATGGATCTGCTAATCCTGCTTTAAATCCGATATTCTTCAATGTTTTTACAATGCGCTGGTTCCATTCATAACATGACTGTTTTAACCCATACAGACTTTTCTTTAATAACCAACAGTCAGCTTTCCCATTTTCCTCAAATCCTGAGGGTTTCTTTAAATAAATTTCATGCTGTAATGGTGCATGCAGATATGCGGTCTCTACATCTAAATGGTTAACTATATATTTATTTCTAGCTGCCCATACCAATGCTGCTCTTAATGTAATGGCTTTTAAGCTTGGAACAAATACTTTATCATAATCATTAGGAGACTGATTAAATCCTTGAGCTACCAGCCTAGATTTATATATTGGTATCCCATCTATCCCAGTCTTTAATTTATATATCCACTTACTACCGAGTATAGTTTTCCCTTTTGGAATTGTTGCAGACTCATATACTTTCAAATTCTGCAAAGATTGTAGTTCTTTAGTCATTGCACCTCTCCACACTTTCTGGTCTTCAGGTGGAAACGTGGTCAACTCATTAAATGTAGTAGGGACTTTATTTACTTGATAGACTGTAGTTGCCTGATACCTATCAGGTGGTTTTGTTACTCTACTCGACCTTCTTGGGAGTTCAAGACTTACAGATTGCCACTCCACCTTTACCTCTTCCTGTACTACGTCTTTCTCTACCTCTTCACTCTGGATCTCTGGCATTTCATTGGTAGCTTCAGTCTGAGTTTCAATGATAACCTCATTTTCAGTACTTAATTTATTCCACCCTACATGCTCCATAAACCTGGCATTTGCACTGTTAACTACCGTTGCTGTTACTTTTACCCAAAATCTGTAGGACCTGTAGTTTGAATTATAACCAACAAATATTGTTGTGCCCTACTCTGGCCCTTACGCCTTAACTGCACTGGAATATGTACCCATGCAGGTGATCCAAATGTGTGTATGTAGCTCAAATGCGGCTTCCTTCCATGCCATACGGTATATGGAATTTTGTTAGAATCAGTCTAGCAATATTGGTATGCTATGGTTCCTTCAATTACACAATGTCATCTATGAGGACCCTAGGAAGCTCCTCTCCTCTGCAGCAGTGCCTTCTGTGGAATGAAGCCCCCCTCCCCCCCCCCACACTGGTGTTTCTAAGGGCCTTGAAGACTTAAGTCTTTGACCAAGTCTAAGGCAAGGTGAGCGTATTGTGGATTGTGTGGCTTCCTTTTTGTTCTTGTCTGTGTTTGCTTTTGTTTTGTCACCCTTGCCATTTTCTAAATTCTTAATTTGTGTGCATTGTATTTTTTTCTTGTTTTTAATATTTTTGTGACTGCCCAGAGTTTTGTTTATGGTATGTGCCACACGATAAGGCAATTCTAGACAGTTTACAGACAATAAAGTTTGTAACTGTTGCAAGTCAGGCAGCATATAAATTTAAATAAGCATTTAATATCTTTAAATAAATAAATGTTAATCGCTGCTTAAAGTCTTGAGACTTGCACAAACAGAAGAGCACAAATAAGTGAGAAAGAGGTGTTGTTGATATGGAAAACAATAAATTAAATATTTTATTCCATAATTTAAGAAAAAAAAGAGTCCAGAGGTTTGGGCTTAATATCAGTACTGCCTCCCACACAAAAAGTTTTTCTGGGAAAGTGTCTGTGTGTATGGGTGTGGGACTGTTGGTGTGTGTGGGGGTGTTTGGGTGATTATAAGCATGCATGCATAAGACAGTGGCACCGAGGCAGGAAGAATGTATATGTGCGTGTGAACATGTGTGTGTTTGTGTGTGAGAGAGAAGAGATCCAGCCACTTGTGCTTATCCCTGCAGCTGCTACCAGCCCAAATGCAGGAGTCTCTTCTGCTGATCAAAATGGTCCTGGGGACTGTATGAAAAAGGGAAACTTGGTGGTGGTCTGCACCCCCCAGTTATTCCCCCTCCACTTAAGAAAGTGGAAAAAAAAACCCATCCTGGTCATAAAACCCGGACAGTTGCAGGTATGAAAAGGAAACAACAAACAAGGGTAATTTCGAAGCTTACCATCCCTGAAAGCACCAGGAGGGAAACAGTTTGCTTTTCCAAGGACAAAAGGTGAACCAACTTATGAGGCTCCCTTCCCTTCCCCTCCATGCTCTTCAGCGAAGAAGTCAGGCTTATGAGCCCCTCCTTTTCACCCCTACAAAACTGCATCCCCCACCTGTCCTCCAGCTTTCATTTCCCTGGGGCACACGGAGAGGGGTGCTTCCCCTCCCTAAAGGAGGTCTGGTGCTTGGGGACAAGCCCCTCTCACCGGCCCCCGAGGAAGACCAAGTGCAGGAAGAGGGCCAGTGATAGGGCTGCTGGTGGGAAAGGCCCAGCCCCGCTGCTCAGCCTTCCCCCGCTTTGGTTCTGCAGGGAGGAGGAACCCTTCCCAGGTTGCTCCCTTCGAGGGGCTCGAGAGTCAGGGGAAGGCCGTGAGCTCCCAGAAGCCCCTCTGGCAACTGCACCTCCTGACCCTGGGAAGGCTGGCCGGTCTTCGTGATATCCAGCACCTGAGCCACTGATGCCATCGTCATCTGGAACAGAAAAGCAGGATGAGAAAGGTTGATTAAAGGGACCGGGCAGCTGTTTTCCACAGCTTTCTCACTCTGCCTGTCTGTCTGTCTGTCTCCTGAGGCAATTTGTGGGTGGCAGCCTCAAGAGTCCCTCGGAGCAAATCTCCTCCCTCATGGGCTCCTAGTGGCTTCCTGCCCATTCACTCGCCGCGCTTCCTGAGCAGAAAGGGAACCCTGCAATGCGACCACTGCAATGCGTTCTGTGTGGGAAATGCAGCAGGGCCAGAAAACAAGCCGTTTCTGTGGCTTCTGACTCGCAAGGGGTTTCCAGGCCCGGTCTGAGGTGCTGGTCTTACCCATTAAATCCCTAACCCTGGCATGGCTTCCACGAAGGGAATTTTCCTGCCAGGGCTCTTGTCCTCAGAGAGGATGCTTCCTATCACTGCTCCCTGCGTGGGTTGGCAGGATCCCAGCAGAAAGCCTTCCTGGGGCCTTGCTGTGATCTCAGTAGCTCCTGTCTTGCTGCCGCAAGCAAGGCTGCCAAGCTACTGGATTCAGAGGGCCTTTGGGTGAGGGACTCTCTGCTTAGGTGCCACCCCTGAGAGGGAGCGGCGTTGGTTTATCCATGACTTCCGTTCTGAGCACGATGATAGTGCTCAGAGTGCTGTGTTTTTATGCCTACAAGCTGCTGAGAGTTCTTCTGAGAGGCTGGCAATAAGTAAAAGCTGTAATAAAGAAAGATACGTGGCTGCAGATTGGCAGGATGGTGCCAGTGAAAGGGAAGAAGAAGCTGCAACCTCACCAGCATCCTGAAAGTCGAGGTCTTGCCCATGGCATGCCCCCACCAGCCGCGAGGCCACACTGCGGAGAGCCAGGACATGTCTCCGGGTTAGAAGATCGGGTTGTGAAATGTCGACCTCCACTTCTGGGTTGTTGATTTGATTCACCAGTCCATCAGCTGTCACATCTGGGAGATACCTGGATGGTTGATTGCAAGGAGGCAGCAGTCAAAGGGGGATCCGGGAAGACCAGTCATTCAGCAGAGCAAAGCCATGGAGTCTGCATACACACACACACACACACACACACAAGGCCTGAGAGGCCTGGGCGGCTGATCCCACATTTACACCACGCTTCTTTTCTGAATCTCTCTTCTTCTCTCGCGCATACACACACACGCAAGCAAGGCAGTCTGACTTTTAAGAAAAGAACAGCCACATATAGGGTTGCCAGGTCTGCTTCCAAAAAATAGCGGACAAGCGGGGGGGCGGGGGTTAAGTAGTAAAAAAATTTTTTTTTAAATTACAATTAAATTATATATTTTCTTACAAACATTTTAATAGGGAGTCTTTAACAATGAAAAACGAATTGATTTGCTTGTTGCTGGAAGCTATTTTCTCCTTATCTAAATGATTTTTTGTGCTTGCATGCTGTGTGACAGCTTTTATACCATTATATTCAATTGTGAACGATTTCTGACACAATTTACAATAGGCCGTCGTATTTGTTCTGTCGGTTTCGTTGTTGGTAATCCATGCAAAAGTAGCTTCCCAGTCTTTGGTGTATTTGCACACTCCTCTCTTTCGTTTTAAGGAATTCGAAATCTCGCCGCTGTCACTCTCATCACTCGAAGCCATTTTAGGTCAGTCGGCACAAGCTACAATACATTTTAAAAATGTGAACTGTACATAATTTTATAATATATTTTTATTTTAATCTCATCATTAATTTTTTCGGAGAATCGAGTTCAATGGATATTTGATCTTTGTCTCATTCTAACTTATGAAAAAAAAGACAAAACGCGATTCTCCTATCCTTATTCTCTTAGACTGTATAGCTTTAGATTACGTACCATTTCATCATAAAGCTTTTGAATAAAAAAAAGTCCACTATTTTGTGAAAAAAAAATAGTGAACATAATGTGAAAAAAGCGGACTGTCCGCTCAAATAGTGGACACCTGGCAAGCCTAGCCACACAGGAGGGTGATTTCCCCTTTCCTGCTCTGCTCTTAGCTTAAATACAGTCAGCCTCCCTCGCTCTCAACGCACAAAGCCTTCTTCTGGCCAAGTCAAGCCTCTTAGGGACCTCTACCTGCCCCGTGTCTGACCATTCCAGCAACTGTCCTCATTTGTCATGTCAGCTGCTGTCTTTTCACTGCTGCAGAGAGTGTGGGGCAGCAGGATCCAGAAGCGCCTCATGAGACGAAGCTTTTCCTTGAAATCCAACACCTGTGAGGGGAAACAGGGCGGCAGCCTGGTGAGAAAGTTTTCCCCAGGAGGCTTCCCCTTGGATTGGCCAAAATCATCTTCCCTTCCAGCAGGGTAATTCGTCCCATTTGAACCATACTGTGTGAAGCATGATGAGTAGATAAAGGAACAGGGGTGAGACTTTACTGCCATCTTCTACACACTGCAGTGCCGGGCAGATCATTCGGCCAGGAGATAAGACTGCCAAAGGCTGGGCTTCGGGGCAGAAATGGTATCAAAAGAGCAGAACCTTCCCTTTTGGCATTGGCCTGGCCACTGCTTAGTTTCCCTTGGCACAGCTTTCTTAGCTGGGTCAGAGCGCTCACACATAACAGGCCAAGAGGACAGAAGGGAGGATAGGTATCTCAATTTCTCCATCGCCTTCCTGACCTTTATTTTGAAATTGGGAGTTTGGGAAAGGGGTCCCCAGCAGTTGGGAAATGTTGCTAAAACATTCAGATTGGAATTAGCCCTTTTTTTTTTCAGAGTTGGGGTGGGGCATTCCCAGGAGTTTCCAAGGCTTCCATTTTAAGCAGGAGCTTCCCCTGGAGAAGCTGCTATCCCTGATGGCCCAGATGGAGCAACAAAGAAGCAGGCCTGTTGTGATAGGAAGCCCTTCTAGCAAGGGCTAACCAGACCAAAGAAAGGTGGCACAGTGAACCAAGAAATCACCCAGAGGTAAAGAAAGGGGGTGCCAAGCCAGAGGTGATCACGGCACCATGCCAGGGATGGCAAAAGCTGATGGGAGGACAAGACATGGCCCATGGGCCCAAAGCCCCACTTCACCAAACCCCGGAAGAGACTACAGCAGTCAGAAGAGGAGAGGGAAAAGTAGCTGGACAACCCAGAAGGGCATCCAGAAGCATCCAGAGCAATTCAAGAGAGTAATTAAAGTTCTTTGGCTCCCCTAATGTGAAGAGGCTTGTCTGTCTGCTCCTCAGATAAGGCACCCTGCACAGAGGTATTCACAATTCTGCCTGGGTTATTTTGTCTGTGAAAAATCTTTGCTTTGCCCTCCAAAAGAGGCATGGAGAAGGGCACTACCATTTTTTGTCTTTGAAGCCCACCTATAGTCAGCCTGCTCCTGAATTGCCACCTACCAGCCGGTCCAAGTTGGTCCCCCCTGCGGTGGTTGGCTTCTCCTCTGGCGGGTAGATTTGAAAGTGGTACCTGCTTTCTTCTTGGGGGTCACGTCGGGAACGGGCAGGAGTTGGACGGGGGTTGCCACAGCTCTGGAAGACCTGGCGGTAAAGCATGGATGACAGGTAGAGAGGCTTAGTTTAAGTTAATGCCAATTAATCATAAAAGAAGCTGAGGTTTTGCTTCTAAGGAGGCACTTGGTCTCATGAGAGGAGGAAGGAAGGAAGGCCTTCTGTGAGTCCCCTCCAGATGGAGATTGTGAAAGGCGGCTAACCAAAGTTAGCCTAGGTTGGCCAAAAGACTCCAAAAGCCTGGAGGTGCCTGTGAGACTAGCATGAGGCATGAGGCACTGATTTTGGCTCTCCCAGATAAAATGAAATTTTATGGTTATCATTCTCATACTCCGGGATTTCTGGTTCACCCACGAAGCATCAGAGGATGGACGGGCCCTTCCAAGTATTTACTTATGAGACTGTAGGAAGAATGAAAGTCTCTCTCTCTCTAAGCCCAGAAGCAAAGTCTTATTTGGGCAAGATGAGGAGAAAAAGCAAATTAAAGGGTTGGGTAGTGTTCTGTCCCCAACCCCACGCGCACACACCAACAGACGTTCAGGAGTTCAAGACCAAACCAGCCGGCAAAATCCTTTTCCTTATGATAACGGAACTTGGCAACAACCTAGTGGCTGCCTGCCAAGAGTTTATTATTTACAAAGAGGAGAGATAACTTCTCCCCACTTCTGATACATCAAAGGGGTTTGACTGGCCACCACGCTCCCTTTTATATCCTGTGGGGTGTGGTCCAGTGACTCAGCCTAATCTCGGGCACGCCCTTTCTTCTGTTGCGTGCGCTTATCTCTGCGACGCTGGCGTGGGTCCAGCCAAGACTCATTACCCTCATCACTGTCCATCTGTGGCTGCGTGGATGTGCTTGGCCCTGGCCCTATCTCTTGCCCTTCGGCGGACACCGAAGGCATTGCCAGAGAGGAGGGTCCTGGAGAGGGAGGCCTTGCCAACTCCTCCCCTTCACTCTCGGAGTCCTCTCCTGACAATGACACAGGCTCCGGTAACGGAGCCACAACAGGTAGTTCACACACTCTTTCAATCTTTTTTCCAAAACTGTATTTCTGTCTGTAACAGAGTCTGCATTTTAGGCTGCCAGCCATATTACAGGCAGAAATTATGTTTTGAAAAAGAGATAACCAATGTAGAAAACAGCATTTGGAGTTTCTCTTGGCATCCATCCGTACCTTAGCCGATGTCTGTATATTGCGTTCCTGCAGGTACATTATGGCCTCTGAAATTTTCACTGCAATGGAATCAGCTGCCAATTCAAAATTGAAGGGTCCTGTGAGCTGTTCTGCCAGTTGGATCAGTGCGTCTTGAAAGAAGGAAAAGGGGTCTGTTTGCCCTAGGCATCCATGCACTGGGGAAGCGTTAAGAGGATCCCATGCTGCCCCTTACATCGAGGTTCTGCTAAGAATAGGTGGTTGTCTCCACGGACTGACTTTTTCACAGTCCCCAGAAGGAACAAGAGGAAGGCCAACAGCACCCCCAGAACCCTCAGATCTTGGTTCGGGAAACTCTGATTCACATATGTTTGCCATTTAAAAGAAGCTTGACTGCCCCCATCTCAAAATTTGCCTCTCTCTGCCCTGCATGCTCACCCAGGAAGCGCCCCCACTCAGCGTCCATCTCTGTGATGCTCGCCAAGCAGCCTTTCATGACGTTGAGGCAAAATTCGTGGCAAGGCTTGAGGGCTGGAAGCCCACGGCACAGGGGGCAGAAGGAGAGGCGCATGTGTGCCCGTCGACATTCTCCAGTGGGAGATAGCTGTGTAAGGGTGGAAGAAGGGAGAGCCAGGATCAGGCCTGCTCAGACTCCATCGTATCAATGGAGAAAGGGAGACGGAGGGTTGTGGCTTCTCACCCTGCACTGGAGAGAGAGCCAAAGGAGCTGATCCAGACAGAAATCCCATCTCATTCTGCAGGCCCAGATCCAAATGTGCTATCACCAAAGGGGTGGGGGAGGAGAGGAGTCACAGGATATAGGGTCTGGATGGCTCCTGTGGAACTGCGGTTAACATGGCCACAAGTGAACACCATTACAGGTGGCCAGGAAGATGAGAAATGACAGGGAGGACTGGGGAAAGGGCTAAGTCATCTGCAGACAATGGAAACCTTGGGCACCTCCAGCTGCAAGGGAGGAGGGGACCCTCACCCAAGGGGTTGGCAGCATTGCTTGCAAACAAGGCAGCCCCAGAGAAGTAGAATATTTGGAGGAGCTGTCTTCCTTCTCTCCTGAGTCTCCAGGTGCTCTCTAGCATTAGCCCCACATGCTGCCACGCCTAAAGGTTGGTTCATACCTGCACAAGCACTCACCTTAACTGCCTGGGCAACGATGTCTCGTCCTGTGGCCAGGCCCTGAACAAAGACCCGAGCAGCAAGGAAAGCTCGAGACACCTGAGGAAGAACAGAAACCGACACCAGGCATCAGAGGAGCCATGGCCATCCACAAGGTACAAGCACAGGGGTAGAGCAAGGGGGCTGAGTCTAGCCGGGAGGCTTTGGTCAAAGGTATGCAGTTGCAAGGGGTGCACAAAGGTGCTTAAATGTTTGTGCACTCTTTGGAATTGTCAATTTCTCCTTAGAAATATGATCTAAAATGTGATCAGTTTTACACACATCCTAAAACTAAATAAAGAGTGCCCATTCAACAAATTAATTCTCTTTATCTAGTTTCAGGACCTGTGAAAAACTGATGACATTTTAAGTCATATTTATGCAAAAATGTGGACAATTCAAAAGGGTGCACAAACCTTTAGCCACCACTGCAGCTGCACCCTAACTGGAATATATCAGAAAGTCAATGCTTCATCACATACCTGTGCCCCAGCGTGGGCAGGGGCAACATTTCAAATTTGGGGGGGGGTATTTTTCAAGGAGCCCTAGAGATCCCTACAAAGGCATGTCTCTCTGTTTTGTTGGCAAAGGATTGTTTTGAAAAGATCTAGGGTTACCTGGTTGGGTGAGAGGGTCAACCCTGGGGCAGGCATGGCTGTGGCAGAGGCTGGCTTGCCCAGAGTAGGAGGCTGCTCATGTCTCCTATGGTAATTTCTATGCTGGTTATTCCAGCGCCTGAAGGAATGCTTCACACAGCTTAGTTTACGGACTGGGAGATCATGTGACGAGGCAGAAGATGGGGCTGACGGGGCACCAGGGCAAAGGGGGAAAGGGGTGCCCCAACTCCTTCCCCCTTTGGCTCTCTCTGACTGAGGCCTTCCTTGCCAGGCCACTGTAAGTGCTTGCTCCCCTTCCCATCCCGCCAATGGTTCTGCTCCAAGCCAAAGCAGACAGGGAGCTTCTGAGGCCCGAAGGGCTGTCCTGTCAGGAGCAGGGCTCACCTGCACCCGGAGCTGGCGGGGGCTGTCTCCAAAGGCATGGAGGCTTTCCACCTGGCGCCCCACACACTCCAGGTACCCTTCTGGGAAGCTATACTGGGGGTTAAGCAGAGGCAGCATTCGCTCCAAAAGCTGAGACCAGAAGTCACTCAGGGCCTCATCTAGGCTGGACCGAGACCCCTTAAGGTGATGTTGCAACTCCACAAATAATCCCTGGAAGAGGCGGGCATGCTGCACATAAAGGCGCCCATAGGAACGGGCAAACATGGCCTGGAGGGACCGCTCAGCTCCAGCAAGAAGCTCCTGGAAAAAGTCTGGAAGTGGGAGAACAAACACCGAGGATAGCAAGATTAAGCGGAACCCTAAGAAATTTGAACTGCTGCCTTCTCCTTTCCCACATTCACTGGGGAGGCTGCCAAACAGGCAATGCCAGCGGTGAAGGTTGCCAACTGAAATTCTGGGGTGGGGTCAGGTGAGGAAGCGACCCCAGGTGGCATCACGGTTTGTATCTGAGGAGAAGGGAATGAAGGGTTGCCTTAGTCTATAAAGCACCTGAAGGCAGGACAAGGAGGAACGGATGGAAAAAGAGGTTAAAGAGAGACCCAACCTCAAAGAAAGAAGAAATTTCCTAACAGTGAGAATAATCGGTGGAAAGGCTTACCTCAGGAAATTCTGGGTGCTCCATCACTGGAGGTTTTCAAGAACAGACTGGGCAGCCATTTGTCCTGAATGGCATAGGGTCTCCTGCTTGAGCAGGGGGTTCAAGGTTCCTTCCAATCCTATTATTCTATGTTCTATTGGGGGCGGGGTGTGAGGAAGTGAGAGGGAAAAGGAAAGAGAGCAGCCAGCTGGGAAAAGGGGGCCAGAGGGAGGCTCCTTCCCCTCGCTTACCCTGAAAGCGGTGCTGGCGAGAGCTCAGAGTGCTGATCAAGAAGGCGCCCGTCTCCCCCAACAGCGCCCGAAGGTCCGCCTGCCCTTGCTCGCTGAGCCGCTCCTCCGTCTCGCTGGCGCAGCAGGTGTAGTCCTGGGGGCAGATGCGAAGGTGCTCTCCTGCAGGAATTAAAAGGGAGGGTCTTACCCCCTCGGAGGTGGATTAGCCTCTGGGATGAAGCCAACCAGGGTTGGCGCAATGGGAGCGCCTTGCCCTCCCTCAGTCTCGACACTGGGCAAAAGTTTTCCCCAGGAGCCGGGTGCGTGAGCCCATTCATTTCCTCTTCCCGGGATCCTTCAGTAGTGGGGGGTGGGTATGATCGTGGGAGGGCAAGTGACCCAAGAGAGGACAGAGACATTCCTAGCAGGAGTTTCTTTACACCGCAGGCTAGAGTCCGCCCGAGCTGAGCAATGGGACCGGCAGGGTTAGAAAGGATTTCCCTTCGCCAAAGACTTGCAAAGAACACCTGCCGTTCCTGCAGCGGGACAGGCTGAGTCTCCCGGCGCTCAAATCGCCGCTGCTCGCCCACCATCCACCGGGAGCATATCGGTCAGGGACGCCCAGGAAACTTTGCTCGCGGCGCCTTCCGAGAAGCTCTCCGGCCGAAAGCCCTTACCCGAGATAAGGGTGGGTGGGACCGAAGCGAGTGAGAAGCCGCGGCTCGCCAGCGCCTGCCGGGTCTCCGCGCAGCTCCGCGCCCCGCGAGCTTCTCCGGCAGCGGCGGAACAAAGAAGCGCGCTCAGAGCGAAGAGGAGCAGCAGCGTCCCCATCCCGCGAAGTGAAAGGCGCAAAGGCCGAGGGAAGAGGAGACCTTTCACGCGAGGCACAGCTCGCACCGCTCGGCCACGGTCGGTCGCTGAGAAGGACCAAGCGCCGCTGGAAACGGGCGAGTTTCCCCGCGCTGAGCGGAGCGACTGCGAGACAATAGAAGCCAATCCGCGGTGGGGCTCGCCGGGCCCTAGTGCCTCCTCCCTACTATCCGGGCCGGGTATCAGACAATGGGAGAGGAATGGGGAGCGGCCCTAATGTCCTCTGTTTCTCTGCTTTCCCCATTGCTCTGCTGGCCCCTCCTCCCCGTTGCTCGGCCAGAGGGGCTCTACAGAACCTGAGAGCAAAGAGGGGCGAGGGAGGGGGGGTATGGTGAGCGATAGATCGCCTTCGGAAGAGCAGGGACGCTGGCTGCGACTTCCCAGTTGATTCCCATCATCCGTTTATTTTCCTCTTCGTTTAAGAAGGAAGCCTTTGTGCCTGACTGCAATTCTGGTAAGCGCTTGCTTGCTCTCGCTCTCCCCTGTGCTCCATGACCCCTGCTGGGGCCAGACGTCTGCAGACACCCCCCCCAAAAAAAGGGGGAGGAGGAGGGCTACTAGGTGAGCCTCTTCTTAGGAAAAACTCTCCTTGCTCCAAATTCTGTGAGTGGCCTAAGCAAGTCTGTTCATGTATATGCAGAAGAAAGAATGGATTGAAAAGCAGGAAGAGAGAATTAGGGAGAGATACAAAAGTGAGGACTCATTTGAATCTGGGAGAGGGCATTTCTTGGTGAGGCCAAGAGTGGATCATAAAAATGGACATAGAAGAGAAAAGAAAAAAAGAAAGAAAAAGTGGAACGTGCAGGAAGAGAAACCCAACATTCACTGTATTAATCTTTCTCAAGAATGAACTGAAAATGGACACAGGAAAAGAGAATGTGGATGCTGCTTGAATAGAGTGAAGATAACCATCTTATAGTGCCATAGAAGTGTGTAGAGTTACATTAATGAAAGGCATGAAAAGGGATGTTTGAGGGAATAATGGAATAAAATGGATTAAGGGAAAATGCACATAAGAATGATTGCTGCATGAAGTGGGAAAAAGTAATACAAATACAAAAGTAATTTGTATGATGCATTTAGAAAGAGAAAGCTGCAAAGAATGCAGTCAGAGCAGTGAATGTGTTAAGGTTTAAAGATGTAGAGAAAATGCAGAACAATTTTGATGGAAATTAAAAGTTGCTTTAAAAATGAAAGTGATAATAATTTGGGGGTAAAGTAAAGGAATGTCATTCCCTAATTCTTGTGGGGCTGAGAGTGATACAGTATGTCAAAGAGTGGAATTGAGATGAAGACTAAAATGTGTAGGGCTGCCAAAGTAGATAAGGTAAATGGAGAAATGTTAAAACTTGGATGTGATTTGCTTAGATAATGGCCATGTTGCTTGCCTAATACCGGTAGATGTGTAAAAGGTGTGCCGTTTCTGTGCCCAAAGGCTGGAAGAATACCATTTTTGTTCTCCTTTGCAGAGGGAAAGGTAAACAGGTGAATGCAAAAACTACAGGAGCAGCCATTAGCTAATTGTTCCTGGGAAGATGCTTAACAAAATACAAGAGGTGAGAGTGGTTAAGACCTGGGAAGTGCAGATCAGCCATATAACGGCAGAGGACATGTAAATGGGTTTTTGATTATCGGTCATTCAGGAGTTTAGGACTGTGACAAAGTTCATTGTACATAGAAAGACGTATGGTGTACAATAAAGTGAAAAAAGTCCTGAAATTATGGAATGATTTTCATGGATGTGGAGTGGAGTGGAGTGGAGGGTTGGTTGCGGAATACCATCAGAGTGGCCCACGATGGAAGTGAAACCTCTGGGAGAATAACTTTGGAAGTCTTAGCAAACAGTTCTACCCGGAGCAGAGAAAATGCAGATAGCTGCTTAAGGTAGTTATGGACAAATGTACAAAGAATGCTTGGAGTGACCTTAGAGGTATATTGGTTGGGATGCAGAATCATTGAATGTCAGGGTTGGAAGTGACCTTGGAGATCATCTAGTCCAACTTCAGCCTATTGCAAGAATCCCTTAGTACAGCATTCTTGGCAGTGAAAAAGACTCTACTACCTTCTGGGGCTCTTTCTTCCTTCCTTCCTTCCTTCCTTCCTTCCTTCCTTCCTTCCTTCCTTCCACTGTTATATAACTGGGAACAGCCACCATACACCTTCTTGTCATTTAAACCCATACTTTATGCCGGCTCCTGGCCAAGCCAGGCCTTCTTTTCCAAATGCTCTCCAGCTGAGTGCATCATGAGTGGCTCCAGCACTCAGCTCCAGATGAGCTCTTTGCACTTAGCGGAGCCTTCTTACTTTCTGAGGGCAGGAGCAGCCTTGATCCCTCTCGGGCTTCTGCCCCAGGCTCTTCCTCGTGAGTCTTCAAAGATCTCCCAAGGGATCCTGGGGACTTAAGCTGAATGTAAATCCCACAGTGAATGTGTTACAGACCAAGGGAGCTGTGTTTGACAAGAAAAATGGAGTAAATAGTTACATAGTAGATATAAATGGTGTATTAGATATAAAAGCTAGAGCAAGTCAATACATTTCTGAATGTTCATAGAACGTTTACTAATGGAGAAATTTTAAGATATAAATGCTGGAGGAACATAAAAACAATTGTGAGCAATGAATACTTGTCAAAATGAGCAAAAATGGCTATAAAGATAATCCTTGCTTAACAATGGTAATTGGGACCAGCAAGTCCACTGCTAAACCTGGTGCCAGTGACAGTGTCTGTGGCAATCCAGTTGCCGTCATTAGGTGAAGCCCATGAAGTCCCACATTCATCCAATTGTCATTTGTGACCTCCTGTCAGCTTCTCCATTGACTTTGGTTGTCTGAAGTGAAGGTTGCAAAATGGGATGGTGTGGCCACGAGACACCATGATTGTGTAATTGCAAGCCAGTTGCCAAGCACCCAAACTGTGATCGCATGACTGTGGGAACCTCAAGGGTTGTAACTACAAGGGCTTGTTCTAAGTCTCCCGTCATACGTTGATCACTGAATTAGAGGCTGTTCCGGAAGGACCACCTGTGTATAAAAGCTCTTCTGCTCCCTGATGCCAGGAGAATAAAGTAATTTTTAAAAAAATCAGTTGAATGTTGTACTTGGGAGGCTGAGTGGACAACGGCGGGAGAGCAATGGATCGAATGTGAAAGTGAGAAAGAAATGGGTCGAGGGGCTGGCCTAGACAGAGGGGAGGAGGGGGATCAAATGGCAGAAGCAATGGATGGACAGTGTGTGAGTGAATGGCTGATGGAAGGAAGACTCACCAGGTGCAGAGAGATAGAGGTATTATTGCTGTCACTTTTTATCATCCACCATATAGTAATTGGATGGATCTTCTCTGGCTGCTGAGCAAACTTTCTCTCTCCCCACTTCCAAGGTTAGAAAAACATCAGGGCTTCCTGGGTAAAGACGCCAAGCCAAGGCTCAGGTGAGGAGTCAGTGGGCAGAAAAGTGGCCTGCTCCTAGGAAATCTGTCTTTGTTCTGCATCCAAAGGACAGCGCTCACAGCACCAACCCTCTCCAGGCAGCAGGGGGCAGCGCCTGAAGGCTGGATCCTGCCCAGAGGGAGGGGGGGTTTTTTGGACAGGCAGAAGAAGGAGGAGAGGCCCTGCTGCCTCCCCTGAACAAAGGCTGGGCCATGGAAACTAGATCATAAAGCCTTGCCATAATTAATACTCCAATTAAAGAGGAAGCAACAAATCTCTGTTTGGCACAAATTCTTGCTTTCTTTCAACTATAATCTGTCCATTGTAGCTTCAACGTTTTTCCTGCAGAATCTTTGACACAGGATGCCTGAGTAAAGCAATCTTAACAAGTCTAACTGGGTTATGGGGGTGACAACAATGGAGCACTCACTGTCACTTCAAAAGCTGGATACTTGCTCGGAGGCCTGAGTAGACAGAGGGGAAGGGACCCTCCCTTAAGCCCTCTGGCTCCCTCCCTGCCCACCCCAGGCCATCAGCTGAAGAGGCAGAACCTGGCCTGTCAGGTTGCAGGCCATGGAAGCCCATTCCAGGACTTGAGACATGCCAGGCGGCCTGCTTTGTGTACTTGGGGAAGAAGGCGGCACCTGCTGGGTGCTCGTGGGCTGTCTCCAGGCAAATACTATGTCTTCAAGAAATAGGAAGTGGTGTTTTAAATTTAATGTTTTGTTCCCAGATTCTGGCTCTCACATATTTTTAAGACATTATTTGTTCCTTTGCCTCACAGAATTCTGCAGCCACTGAAATACCAAGGTCCGCAGAAGCCACCGAAAAACCATGGAGACAGACTGATTAGTGTGCCTGGCTGAGCAAATTCTCTGTTTAGCACAAAACCATTGCTAAGGAGACTATAATTTAAAGTCTGCTGAGTGTACAAAAAGGAAGCCAAACAGAGCACATATTTTCAAGCACACAGCAAGGCAGATAACCCATTTCATAATCTGTTTCATCCTCTGTTTTTTCTTGTTTATGTAAAAAGCGAAATCCCATTTTTCTCACCACTGAATTGCATTTTGTTGGATAGGACCCAGTGATCAAGTCTGTCAGGATCCTTCTGAAACTTGAGCCTATCTTCTAAAGTGTTGGTTATCCACCACCACCCCAGCTGCAAATTTGATGAGTTCCCCTTCTATCCCTTCATCTAACTCATTTATGAAGATATTGAAGAGAAAGGGCCCAAGATGGAAACTTGGGGTTCCCCACTGCATGGTCCCTTCCATGTAGATGTAGTTCCATTGAGGATTATACATTGAGCGCAGTTGGTCAACCAGTTACGAATCCATCTGGTGAGGATCCTGCCTATTGTCAGGTTTCAGTGCTATCTTGAATAAACTTCATTCTCAAGCGCAAGCTGTCTAATGAATCATTTTATTTTTAAGAATAGCAGAATCCGACATTTCTGATTCAAATTGCAGCCAAACTGGCCCCTCCTTCCAACCCCCTCCTCTTCCGCTCTCCAACCCCAATGTCCCATTGGCCATCATACAGATCCATCTCTACATCCCGGCACGTTCTTTTCACAGGAATGCAGCCCCCATCCTCGTCTCCCAGGAAACACTATCTGTACATACAAAACTAGGTAAAAGTTCAGCTCAGCAATAAATCAAGCTTCCGCTCTTTCTGCTTCAACTTGTTATGTCAGCGCTGGAAGAAAGCCTAATTTGGAATGCTGACATCCAGCCCCTCTCCCTTCACTTCTGCGACATCACCTATCCCATAGGGAAAACACAACAAGATTAGTCTCATCAGCCCCTCCCTGGCTGTGCACCCCCCCCTCCCGGCTTTCCCGGGTGGTCTGCATGGAATTTTGCTATAAGGCGATCAGCTTGGATGTTTGCGCTCTTCACCCAAGAAGCCTCTGACAATGGGTAACCCTTCCATTTAATTAAGTACTGAAGGCGCCCCCTGTGCCATCTTGAATCAAGAATCCGCTGCACTTCGTAGTGTGTTTGGCCCCCAACAACCAGGGGCCCAGGGGGTTCACGTGGCGTTGGCCTTAAAGTAGACCCCACTACAGGTTTTAGAAGGCTACTGTGAAAAACAGGGTGAATTTTCCCCAAAAGCCGTGGCAACTGCAATTGCACTGTAACGGGGTTGATTATTTTTATTATAGGAAATGGTCCTATAAATTTTGGGCCCAATTTCCTGCTCGGGAGTCTAAGTCTCAAGTACTTGGTGGAGAGGTAAACTTTCTCTCCCAGCTGAAATGGTCTTTGGGGAGTTCGGTGTTGTCTGCTTGATCCTTATAAGATTGAGCCGCCTTTGCCAGCGCCCTCTTAACATTTTCCCAAGTTTGTCTCAACATTGCCATCCAGTCGGTCAAACTGACTGAGGAAGGGGGCTCCCTCGGGTATTCTGGCATGGGAACAAAATCCATGCCACTCACTATTTTGAACGGGGTTAGCCCCGTGCTGCTGTGGACAGCATTATTATATGCAACCTCCGCAAAAGATAGGAGGTCTGCCCAATTGGACTGCTGGTAGTCGACATAGCATCTTAAATACTGTTCTATCATAGCGTTCAGTCTTTCTGCCCCACCATTGGTGCTCAGGTGAAATGCTGAGCTGAGCCCCTGGGATGAACCTATGGACCGTAGAAACTCCCTCCAGAACTTTGCTGTGAACTGGACCCCTCTGTCGGAAATGATTCTCCTGGGGACTCCATGTAGGCGGTAAATGTGTTTCAGGAACAGTTTGGATAACTGACGGGCTGAAGGCAGTCCACTACAAGGAATGAAGTGTGCCTGTTTGGAGAATAAGTCTATTACAGTCCAGATCACTGTATTTCCACTGCTCCTCGGTAGGTCTACTATAAAGTCCATTGCAATCTCCTCCCATGGTCTTGTTGGCTCAGCTACTGGTTGCAACAATCCAGGCGGGCACCCTGGCCTTGTCTTCATCGTGGCACAAATGGTGCAGCTTTTTACATAACTGTCTACGTCCTTTCTCATATGTGGCCACCAGAACTGCCTTCGTACTAGGTGCAGAGTCTTTAGGAAACCTGAAGTGTCCTGCTGGTTTAACATCGTGGCTCCTCTTGAGAATCAGGATGCGTAAACTCTGTGGGACATAGAGCTTTGTCCCCCTCCATGCTAGTTCATCTCTTTTTGTCAAGAGATGTTGATTGTCCCGATACCAGGGGTCTGTCAGCGTTTCATTTTTTAATTTCGCAGTTAAGTCACTTGCAAGTTGGCCTTGCTGGTCACGTCGTTGCCGTCTGGTGACCACTTGGGCCGCAGCTTGGGTGGAGGGGATGATGGCATTCACTACCTGCTCCCGCTCACTGTTGTATTGGGGCATCCGGGAGAGGGCATCAGCCAGGAAATTTCTCCCACCTGGGATGTGCTTAAGCTCGAAATTGAAACGATTGAAGTATTGTGCCCACCGCACTTGCCTGGGCGACAGTTTTCGTGGGGTTTTTAGGGCCTCTAGGTTTTTATGATCAGTCCAGACTTCAAATGGTTTCTGGCCTCCCTCTAGAAGGTGCCGCCAGGTCAACAAGGCCCACCTTACTGCAAACGCTTCCTTCTCCCATGCCGCCCATCGCCTCTCCGTATCGGTGAGTTTGCGGGAGGTGTAGGCGCAGGGTTGTAGATCACCTTGGTTGTTCTTTTGGAGTAACACGGCTCCTACTGCCACATCACTTGCGTCTGCTTGGATGACAAAAGGCTGTTCTGGATCCGGGTGTTTTAAGACAGGTTCTTTCGCGAACAGTCCTTTTAGCGTCTCAAATGCCTGTTGGCAGGTCAGGTCCCACTGTAGGGGTTGTCCCGGGCGAGGTTTCATCGCTGGGCTTCCTGTCTTTAGGAGATCTGTCAAAGGTTTGGCAATCTTCGCGAACGAGGGGATGAATTGTCTGTAGAAATTCGCAAAGCCTAGAAAACTTTGCAGTTGTCTGCGGGTGCGAGGGGGCTGCCATTGTAGAACTGATTGGACCTTGGCTGGGTCCATCTCTATCCCCTCATTTGATACTCGGTAGCCCAGGTAGTCTAGCCGTGATTGGTGGAAATCGCATTTTGGCAGTTTGACATATAGGTTTGCCCGTAGCAGTTTTTTCAGTACTTGGCGGACGAGGGGTATATGTTCGTCTATGGTCTCCGTGTAGATAAGAATATCGTCCAGGTAGACGAGGACCCCTTTGTAAAGGTGTTCATGTAAGACTTCGTTTATTAACTGCATGAACACTGCTGGGGCTCCTTGCAATCCAAAAGGCATTACTTTAAACTGGAAACTACCCAGGGGGCAGTTGAATGCTGTTTTCCATTCATCTCCTGCCCTTATGTGTACTCGGTAATAAGCTTCTCGAAGGTCTAGTTTGGTGAAAACCTTCCCTTTAGCTAGGTGGGCTAACATGTCTTTCATGAGGGGAAGGGGGTACAAGTTGTGTACGCAAACAGCGTTGATACTTCGAAAGTCGACCACCAGTCTCATGGAGCCGTCCTTTTTCTCTTTAAACATGACCGGCGCCGCTACTCTTGGTTTCACTGGCTCAATAAATCCCCTTTGTAAGTTTTTGTCTATGTAGTCCCGCATTTCCTGCATTTCTCGGGGCGTCATGGCATACATTTTAGGTTTGGGTAGTTTCGCTCCTGGGATAATCTCGATGGCACAATCGGTCTCGCGGTGGGGGGGCAGAATGTCACACTCGGCCTCGCTGAATACCCCTGCAAGGTCTTGGTACTCCCTTGGATCTGGTTTGCGTTACAAGCGGTGGTGGGTGCGGCTGCCAATTGCTTTGCTGCACCTTCTGGGAGGGACCCTTGTGTTGGTGGTGTTTTCTTTTGTAGTGGAGGGCTGCTTTGGGGTTTCAGCGTGGGAGGGAATTCTTCTGGTCGGGGCGGCAGGGGTTGGGGCCCCTTTGCTATTCTCAGCCTGCGGGTTCCCTCTTGCCACCAAATGATTGGGCCCCATTTGTTCGAGCCATGAGAGTCCCAATATGACTGGTATTCTGTCATCTTGGGGGCTATTATGAAGCGGATTGTCTCCCAGTGATCTGCGAGTTCTAGTCTCACGGGTTCAGTCAAGTGTGTGGCGTACGTTCCTCCCACTAGGGACCCATCAACTTGCTCGAAGCGAATTGGTTGTTTGAGCTGTTTAGCTCGGATTCCCAATTTTAGAACTGTGGGTAGGTTGATTAGGCACCGTGTGCTACCCGAGTCTATTAGGGCTTGGAAAGTCTCTTGGGCCCCTGTTTTGGGGGCTGTTAGGCGTATGGGGAAAAGAAAAGGATGGACGGGTCCACTCACCATCGGGTCATCCTCGCCTTCATCTTCCGTGTCATAGGGTTCAGGGAACTGATCTCTCTCATCTGGGATTCCTCTGGTTTCGGTCAGATGAGCGAAAAACTCAGGGATTTGGGGAGCTTCCTGCGGTACGTGGGTGACGCGCTTGGGCCCTCGTTCTGGTCGTGCTTTGGGCGGTGGAGCTGGTCCCGGTCTAGGCGTTCCACATCTTGCTGCTATGTGGCCGCTTCCCCCACATCTGTAGCATTTCAGTGGGCTCCGTGGGGCAGTTGGTCTGTAGGAGGGCTGTGATGTTGGGGTTTCTCGTCTGTTGAGTGGCCCTTGGTCTGGTCGGCCTCTCTCCTTTCCCTCTGGTGGTTTTGACGTGTCACTCGCCCGCAGCCCTCTGTCGACTTTTATCGCTACCCGGAACCATTCAGCGAGTCGGTTTGGGATGTCACGATAGGCAGTCACTTGGGAAATTCTTTTATCTAGGCTTGTTCTAAAAAAAATACACCAGCAATCGCTCTGGTAGGGGAGGCAGTGTCCCAATGACTCTCCTGAATTCACGGATATGCTCTCTGATAGGCTTCCCCCTCTGCATTAGGTTTCTGAGCTCGTCTTCCACATAGGGGTCCTCCTCCTCCTCCTCATAACGGGCTCTCAATAGTTGCAAGAACCCATCCGCATTTTGTAGCTGGGGAGCCCTGTATTTGTAGAGTGATGCTGACCACCTCTTTGCTTCTCCCTCCAGCCCTTCCGAGATAGCATTCACTAGGGCTCTGGGGAAAGGGTAGAGGTGTCCGAACCGCTCTATGTATATCTCAGCTGCATCGAGGAATTGGGCGAGGTTGTCTGGGTCACCATCGAACTTCCCTCTGAACTGGGGTGGCTCCTCCCTCTCTGCCCTCTCCTCTCTGTGCTGAGCTCTGGAGGGCCAGCCCTGGTGTTGATAGTCCTCTGCCTCGTCTCTCATCCTGGGGTGGGGAGGTGCTGCCTTGTCTGGGCTTCGCTGCCATTCCCATCCCCAGCTCGCCCTTCCCAATTCACTTAGGGGTTTTTCTTTATCTTTTACCTTTGCAAAAGGGGATTCCGCCTCTAAGGCTTTTGGCACAGTCCCGGGTACTTAT